CCTGTAGTCCCAGCTATTTGGGAAGCTGAGGCAAGAGAATTGCTTAAGCCCAAGAGTTTGAGGTTGCTGTGAGCTGTGACGCCATGGCACTCTACCAAGAGCGATGTAGTGAGACTCTTGTCTCAAAAACAAAACAAGGGGCTCAGCACCTATGGCTCAAGTGGCTAAGGCGCCAGCCACATAACACCTAAGGTGGCAAATTCAAATCCAGCCTAGGCCCGCCAAGCAACAATGACAGCTGCAACCAAAAAAATAGCCGGGTGTTGTGGCAGGCGCCTGTGGTCCCAGCTACTTGGGAGGTAGAGGCAGAATACTCGCTTGAGCCCAGGAGTTGGAGATTGCCGTGAGTGATGCCACGGCACTCTACCCAGGGGGACAGCTTGAGGCTCCGTCTCAAACAAAACAAAACAAAACAAGGGCGGCGCTTGTGGCTCAAAAGAGTAGGGCGCCAGCCCCATATGCTGGAGGTGGTGAGTTCAAACCCAGCCCTGGCCAAAAACTGCAAAAAAACAAAACAAAACATTGCCTCTGATTCAGTACATCTGGGGTGAAGCCCAAGAATGTACATTTCTAACAAGTTTCCAGGTGATACTGATGCTGTTGTCCAGAACCGATCACAATCTTAGAAGTAGCAGCTTACAGGGCCCTTGAAAAGTAAATTCAGTGACCTCAGTGCAACATTATCATAGTTAACTATGGCATGGATACCATAGTTTTTACAAAATTCACTGCTGTGTCTGCACCTTGCATTGTACACAGACTTTACCAAATAGCTATTATAACTTCTTTTTTCAAGTGTTTTAATCTTGAAAGGTCTCAGTCTTTCAAATTAGTTGTGTTGACCAAAAGATTTAGGACCCAAGACACAAAACCACCTGAAGGCTGAGTAGCCTTCACTGTTATAGGACAGTTCACAGAGCACCTTCCCCATCCCCAGGTGGTGGGGAAACCTTCAGCTCAATTGTGGCCTTGCTACATCACCTGTTGACTAGAGATGCTAGTACTAGCATCAGACCTTCTGACATCTGGTCCAGTCCTTTACCCCATCACAATAAGTTGTTTAGAGGTGTAACAGGCAGTGGAACTGTATGAAGCCAACAAAAGTCCATGTTTCTGAGAGTATCAGGGAGACTCAGCCTTGCAGTCATAAAGACACTGAAAGACACATAATGGCAAGTAACAAGCCCTTCTATGGAGCAGATTAAAGAGTACTTCCCATGTATGATCACACCAGTACGCCCACCGGTGGGAGAACCAAGGCCACCAGCAAAGCAGTGCACTCTCCACTGCTCCTGTCCTAAGGAATGTGGAAGACCGTGCCTGATGTCTGGAATGGGGCATTTCACCTCTCACCCCAGTCTCTAGGGAAGCCTGGGCACACTCAATAGCAGGAGACGCGAGCACCTGCCTGTGGGCTCCGCAAGGATTCTCCCGGAAGCATGGGGATCTCGCTGCCTGCACGCCCCGCCCTTTCCTCCTTCAACATCCTGGGGTCTGAGGTGGGCGTGGCCAGACCGTCTTTGGTTCCCAGGGGTGTCTCGCCAGCTGTTGGACACTCTAAAAGCCTGAGGCGCAACCGCTAGGTGGGAGCTGTCAACTTCGCGTGCGGCGGACCGAACGGGCGATGGGCCGCTTGGGCCGGCTGCTGCTGTGGCTTAGAGCCGCGGGTAAGTGCCGTCTGGCGGTCAGGAAACGGCCCAGGCCGGAGGCACCCTCCTAAGCTTGGGGATGGCAGTCGCGACAGACCATGTATCAGTGGCTCCTCCAGAGGCCTGGAACACTTGTAGCCCAAGTTCTCCAGTCCGTACTTCTGGAGTGTGGGCGGAAAGCGCGAATCCGAGAACCCCTATCGCGCAGCTTGAGAAGGAGGGACAAGCCCTGGGGTCTCAGTGCTGCCTGGGGGTAGGGCCACCAATCTAAGTGCTGGAAAGGATGGGGTGTCCTGCAGAACTGACCGAGTTCAGAGCGTCGTCATTCACTTAAGTCTTTGGAAGAGAGAAACTGGTAGAGGTGTCTTCAGACACTGAAGTTGGGGTGTGGCCTGCATCCAGGTGCGGGCGAGCGCCGCTGGGCGGGGCCGGAGGTGGGGCGCCAGCAGCCCGGATTATCAGTGAATCGCTTTACCTCTTTATCTGCTATCCCTCCTCCCGTTTAACATTATGCGCCCTGTCCCTACATTGCTGGCTCCCTGTCACCTTTCAGGCGCCGTTCTCTGCTCCAGCTCAGAGTCCCAGACGCCTTTTCCATTATCCTCGCCTCTGCCAACTCCCAGCGCCCGGGACCCGAAAGTCACCGCCCTCCCCTTAAATCCCTCAGGTGAGTTCCCTTCTCTTCAGCACCCCATACCCCGATCCCTTGGGCTCGGCCAGGGGCTCGACGACCCTTTTCTCCCTCCTTGCTCCCAGGCACCGAGGGATCTTGGCAGTTCTCTACCTGTGGGGCCAGTGGCCCGCACGGGCCCACACAAGCACAATGTAATGGGGCGTACGCGGGGAGCGGCGTGGTGGTGACTGTGGTGCCCGCCGGGCCGTTGAGAGGCGTGCAGCTGTGGCAGGCGCCAGGCCCGGGCCAGTACCTGTAAGTTCCCGGGTGGGCTAGGGGTGGGCGTTGACCTGCTGGTCCAATGTAAGGAGGATCAAGGCCACGTGCAGGCCACACCGCCTTGCGTTTTAGGGCTTTCCGCAGCGACGTCCAACCAGGACGACCTCGAGCGTCCCTCCTTCCAGCGGACCCGGGGGAAGTGTGGCTGTAATAGCCGCCGAGTTAGCCTGTATCCAGGACCCCTGAGTCTCATCTCCATAAACACTCCTTAAATAAGTCTAAAGTTTAATTTTGTGGTGTTCAAACCTAGTCCCACCCCTTCAAAGTCGATTGTAGTCTCCAAGTCTCTCCGATAAAAAATTCTGGAGCCGCCTCTGTCGCCAGCCTCTGCCTGGAGCAGCTGGCTTGAGGGTAAAGGGCAGGAACTCAACGCCGGCTTCTCACAGGATCTCAGCCTACGGAGCTGCGGGCGGCAAAGGCGCCAAAAACCACCTGTCGCGGTCGCACGGCGTTTTCGTCTCGGCAATCTTCTCCCTGGGTCGTGGGGAGCCGCTTTACATCCTCGTAGGGCAGCAGGGAGAGGACGCCTGTCCTGGAGTAAGTGGAGCCAGTGGGAGGGGGTACGGCGTTCCTTCTCGGTGCTCCGACACGGGTACTGCGAAGGGAGGGTCCCGGGCTCTGCTGATTCCTACCCCTGGTGCCAGCAGGGTAGCCCGGAGAGCCAACTCGTCTGCCTCGGAGAATCTCCAGCCGCTGAAGAGCGCGCAGCGATGGATGGGACCGAATTGGTCCCAAAGTCGCGGCGATGGGCAGGAGGTGGCGGGGGGGGGTGGTGGCGCCACCCACATCTTCCGGGTACGTGCTCCCTTGGCGCTGTTCGCTTAACCTCCAGCGCTCGGCGTTGGGGTGCCAGTCCTCTTCCCAGAGGTGTGCGCACACGCTTTGTATGTATGTCCCTTAGTGTCCCGTCTGTTCCTTCTGTTCCTCTATCCCTGTGCTGGGCTGGGAGCCGCTGCCCTTTGGGGGGCCTCTGTGGTGGGAGCCATCACAGAATGCCGGTGTCCTCCCTCCATGCTGGAGGGTGCGCCCCTCAACATGCCGCTGACCCCATAGCTGCGCGCCGGCGAGCTGGAGCCACTGCTGGTGGCGGCCGGAGGCGGCGGTCGGGCCTACCTGAGGCAGCAGGGCCGAGGCTGGGCTCAGACGGTCCCTGAGAAACTGGAGAACCGCTCAGCGGCGCCCGGGAGCGACGGGAGAGGCGGAGCGGCCGGTGAGGGCATCCGGCCGCGAGGAGAGGCGGGTATTCTCCCCATCCGGCCTTCAGACAGCCTACTGTCGCTTTGCAGGTGGAGGGGGCGGCTGGACGTCGCAGGCTCTGTCCGCAGAGGGTGGCCAGGGCTGCGCAGAGGCCTGGGCTACACTTGGCTGGGCCGCGGCTGGTGGCTTTGGAGGCGGCGGAGGGGCCTGCAGCGCTGGCGGAGGTGGCGGCGGCTACCGGGGTAGGTGCACCCTTGGGGAGGGCAGCCAGGCATCTCCGAGGGTTAAGTGAGGTCAGAACCTTAAAATTGGCCAAAGCCTAGAGCAGGGCTGGGTGAAAAAGACGTTAAGCCCTGTTCAGCTGCTCCAGGCCAGAGCAGTTCTTAGAAAAGGTCAAATAAATTGCAATTCACACCTGCAGACAGGAGTTCCTAGATTTTCATTTAAATCCAGGGTCTTTTCCATCAGACAGGTGCTCTCCCTGGTCTGTTGCTGCTCCAGAAACGTAGCAGCAAGCGGAGCTGGGAGGCAGAAAGGCAGGATTGGTTTAAGTCAGTTCTCAAAGTGTGGCCCTGGAACCTGGAACCTCAGCACCACCTGAAGTTTTAGTAATGCATCTTCTCTCTGGTCACAGTGGTTCAGGCCTCTAATCCCAGCACTTGGAGAGGCCAGTGAATTGCTTGAGTTGGAGACCGGCCTGAGCAAGAGGGAGACCTAGACACTACTAACAGTAGAAAACCTAGCCACGTGTCAGTCATGGCAGGTGCCTGTAGTCCCGGCTACTGGGGAGGCTGAGGCAAAAGGATTTCTTGAGCCCAAGAGTTTGAGGTTGCTGTGAGCTATGAGGCCATGGCACTCTACCCAGTGCAACAGAGAAAATCTGTTTCAAAAAATAAAAAGTGTGCACATACTCTTGGGACAGAGGATATTAGGGAGATGTTGGTCAGCGGATACAAAATTTCAGTTAGACAGGAGAAATAACTTTTAGGACTCTATTACAAAACATGGTGCTATAGTTAGTAACAATGTATTCTTACCCAGCCTTGGTAGCTCAGGCTTCTAGTCTCACTACTGGTGAGGCTAAGGCAAGTGAATTGCTTGAGCTTATGAGACTCCTTTGTACCCCTGCCCTCCAGCCTGAGTGACAGAGCTAGACTTCACCCCTTTTAAAAATAATAAAAAAAAGTGGGCCATGCCTGTGGCTCAGTGAGTAAGGTGCTGGCTCCATATACTAAGGGTGTTGGGTTCAAAACCAGCCAAGCCAAACTGCAATAAAAAAATAGCTGGGTGGGCTATGCCTGTGGCTCAAAAGGGTAGGGCGCTGGCTGCATAAGCCAGAGGTGGCAGGTTCAAACCCAGCCCTGGTCAAAAAAAAAAAAAAAAAACAGATGTTGCGGCTATTCTGGAGGCTGAGGCAAGAGAATCGTCTAAGCCCAAGAGCTGGAGGTTGCTGTGAGCTGTGTGATGCCATGGCACTCTACTGAGGGGGACAAAGTGAAACGCTGTCTCTAAAAAATAAATAAATTCTTTAAAATTGCTAAGATTTTTAGATTTTAGATGTTCTCATTACAAAAAATAAGTTTGTAAGTTAGTGGATATGATGATTGGCTCAAATAAGCAAATTGCACATTGTATACACATTTCAAAACATGTTGTATGTATATTTTATATTACATGTACATTACATGTAATATTACATGTAACATGTTACATGTTACATGTATATTACACATACATGTATGTATGTATATTACATTAAAAATAAATGCAAATTCTCAGCCCTTCTCTAACCTCCTGAATCAGAAACTCTAGGGGAGAGTCCCAAAGTGTATTAATCAGTCCTCTAGGGGATGATTCTAATGCACTTCAGTTTAAAATCCACTAGTGTATAGAAACAGAGGCTTTGTATCTGGGCTATACTGTTTATAAATACTTTACATACACAACTACATTCTCACATAAATGGAATGTGTGGGTTGAGCCTCTCCCATTTTATAGCTGAGAATATGGGATAGGAGGGGCTCAAACAGACAGAAGGTGTCCCAACCAAGCAAAGCCAGGCCTTCAGGTTCTAGCTGATTACTCCCTCCCCACCTCTCTAGCCTTTGAGTACCTACTTAAGAACAGAAACACTTGCATCAGAATGCTAGTGTAGAGAAGGCCACACTGGGATTTCAACTGGGAGATGCTAGCTTCTCCACTGTTCATAAGCCAGCTTCCCAGCAGTGAGGCAGCTGTGTGCTCCTTACTCCTCTCTTAGCCTCTGCCCCCCCCACCTTTTCTCCCATTGTTCTTTCCCCCACCTCCTCACTTTTGTAGTCAAACCCTCCATCACTCTCATTTTCCAGGGGGTGACGCCTCAGAGACTGACAACCTCTGGGCTGATGGGGAAGATGGGGTATCCTTCATACACCCCAGCAGCGAACTCTACCTGCAGCCTCTGGCAGGTATTGACCCCAGCCCCTCATCTCTTAACCAAGCCAAGCCTTTTTCCTCAATCCCTGAACCCACTCATATAAGATCTACCACTGCTACACTGGAAACCACCTACTTTTTGCATAGCACAGGATCATTTGAGAAGTGGGCTATCAGTGTGATATCATTTTGGGGGATTCTGGATTGCTTGTGAAGTATTCCCTTGCTATAAATTCTCTTCAAATACCTGGGAGCTTAGGCTGGGCACGGTGGCTCATGCCTATAATCCTAGCACTCTGAGAGGCCAAGGAGGGTGGATTGCCTGACCTCAGGAGTTGGAGACCAGTCTGAGCAAGAGCAAGACCTCATCTCTAAAAATAATCAGATGTGAGTGGCACCTGTGGCTCAGTGAGTAGGGTGCTGGCCCCAGCCAACCTGCAACAAAAAATAGCTGGGCATTATGGCAGGCACCTGTAGTCCCACCTGCTCAGGAGGCTGAGGCAAGAGAATAGCCTAAGCCCAAGAGCTGAAGGTTGCTGTGAGCTGTGACACCAAGGCACTCGACTGAGGGTGACAAAATAAAATTCTATCTCTAAAAAGAAAAATAGCCAGACATTGTAGAGGGCTTCTATAGTCCCAGCTACTTGGGAGGCTGAGGCAAGAGAATCACTTGAGCCAAGAGTTTGAGGTTGCTGTGAGCTATGATGCCTTGGCACTCTACCCAGGATGGAGTGAGACTCTGTCTCACTAAATAATAAAATAGTCTTGGGCTAGAATTAACCACATGGCTGGAAAAGGCATGTACATCCCACCCAACAACCCAACCCCATTGCCCACATTCCCCACACCACACCCCACCATATCAGTTCTTTTACTGTCAGTTACAGAAAGCCATGGAGAGGTAGAGATCCGAAGGTACTTCAACTGTAGTCATTGCCCTTTGAGAGATTGCCAGTGGCAGGCTGAGCTCCAGTTGGCTGAATGCCTGTGCCCGGAGGGCATGGAGCTAGCTGTGGATAACGTCACCTGCATGGGTATGTCCTACCTTTGCCCAAGGTCTTGACTCCTGGGATCACAGGCTGGGAAGGCAGTAGGATAACTGGAAGGATGTTTTAGAGACCTTCTGTGTACCTGGCACTGTGTTTGATATTGGGCAGAGGATTGGAGATCCATCAGTGCAAACTTTGCCTCCCAGGGGCATGTAGTCCAGTGTGGGAGGTGAGATGGATGTTTAAATATGGCAATACAGATTTATATCTCAAGTGACAATTGCCATGAGGGGTAGAACGTGTTTTACAAGTTCTCAAAAGGGAGATATTGTTTCTATCTAGGATAATTGGGGAAGACATCATGGAAAAGTTAACACTTGAGCTGAGTTTTTGGTTTTTTTTTAAGTTTGAAATTTTTTTTGAGCTGAGTCTTGAAGCATGGGTAAAACTTGAAGATAAAGGGACAGAGAGCACCTTCCCACTGCAGGTGTCTTTCTCCCTAGACCTGCCCACCTCCCCAGGCCTTCTGGTTCTAATGGTGGTGACCTCAACATTGAGCCTCCTTATGGTGTGTGGGGTCCTGATTCTGGGTATGGAGCATGGAGCAGATGTGGCAGATTCACGGTTATCCCCTCTCCACTGAGCTATGGGGTCCTGGGGGCACATATGGCTGACCCCAAGATCTCTACCCCCAGCAGAGCTGTGGTAGACTCCTTTGGGGTTCTAAGGAAGCCCCTGGGAGGTCTGGGGAAAACATTCACCTTAATGGAGATCTGCAGAGGTGTCCTGGGCAGGGGGAGGCTGAGTGGGCCTGATGGGAAGGTAGAGTATATGCCTTTGCTTCTCCTATCCCCAGCAAACCAGAAGTGTCAGGGTCTGTGGGTAATGAAGCAGCCAGGCCCTGAGCTTGAACTGAGCAAGCGACCAACCTCTGCCATCAGGACAGCTGCCAACCCCTATTACTACCAGGTGGGGCTTGGCCCAGCTCAGTCCTGGCCTCTGCCCCCAGGGCTTACAGAGGTTTCCCCAGCCAATGTCACTTTGCTGAGGTGAGTCCTCTACTTCCCTCTGACAACATGTGTACTCTAACCCACATCTCTGATCCTGTTCCCTGCTGTGGTAAATTATGGATCCCAGAGAACCTCTGGCCCAAACTTCAGGGAAATGGAGGCCCAAAGAAGCTCCAAAAGGGGAAATAATTTGCTCAAGTTCAGTTCTCAGCCCCAATTCTGGAATGGTAGGGACTTATAGAATAAGACTATTTTGGAGCCCAGGAGACACCCCTTGCCTCCTAGGGTGTCTGCCAGGACTTAAGGGAAGGTCTCATCACAGTCTTCCCCCCCATCTGATCCCACATCTGCCCTCTCTTTGCCCTGGCTCTGTGCAAATCCATGTCATCCTTGCAGGGTTTCCACCATGCCATGATGCAGAGAGAGCTCACATAGGGTCAGCCAGAGACATGGGGATGTGGAGGAGCAGGGCACAGAAAAGGGGTACTAGGACTCTCTAGGACCCTTCTCCAGGCCAGCCAACCACTCACTTCCAACCTGTCTTCCTGTAGAGCTCTGGGTCACGGTGCCTTTGGGGAGGTGTATGAGGGACTGGTAATTGGCCTTCCTGGGGATTCCAGACCACTGCAGGTGGCTATTAAGGTGAGAGGGAGTGAGACTTAATGCTGGGGCAGGAAAGAAGCGCACCATGGAGGGGAGAGCAATTACTAGAGCTAAGGTTAACCCACCCTCCTTAAGTGTCCAGGGGAGTTCAGAATCTCTGTGGTCTTCCTCTGCCCACCCCAGACTCTGCCAGAATTCTGTTCTCGTCAAGACGAGTTGGACTTCCTGATGGAGGCACTCATCATCAGGTGGACCTGGGGTGGGGGCAGGGCTGGAAGGCGGGAGGGAGAAGCCAGGACTGCCTACAGGAACAGCCCTTCTTCATCCTGGGGTTGAGAAGTGGCAAGTCTGGCAACACAGAGGTCCTCTCCAGTTTTATGGAACATGGTTTCTATCTCCCTGCTGGTGGTGGTGTATGTGCACCATCCCGTCAGCAAGTTTAGCCATCAGAACATCGTGCAGTGTGTGGGGCTCAGCCTCCAGGCTGCCCCCCGCTTCATTCTGCTGGAGCTGATGTCTGGAGGGGACATGAAGAGTTTCCTGAGGCATAGCCGGCCACACCTGGTGAGACCCTTCTCTCAGCCCTCCAAAGAGCCTGCTCATGTGTCCTGCATGGACTGACACACCTTCTCCCTGACCCAGGGCCAGCCGTCAACTCTAGTCATGCAGGACCTGCTGCAGCTGGCCCAGGACATAGCCCAGGGCTGCCACTACCTGGAGGAAAATCATTTCATCCACAGGTTGGGAGGAGTCCTGGCTCAGGGGATCCCCAGTCCCACTGCCTCCCCCTCCTTGTTCCTTTAAAGGAAATACATCAGGAAGGGCCAAATCATCTATGTTCTGGGAGTGATATTTTTGCCAAACTCTGCAGGGACATCGCTGCCCGGAATTGCCTGCTGAGCTGCACTGGGCCCAGCCGAGTGGCCAAGATTGGGGACTTTGGAATGGCAAGAGATATCTACCGGTGTGAGGCTTGGGGAGCTGGGAAGGCTATTGGTCCAAGAGGGTTTACCAGATGATATTTAAACAACTCATCACTTCTCTCCTCCCTCCTGTAGGGCCAGTTATTACCATAAGGGGGACCGGGCCTTGCTCCCAGTCAAGTGGATGCCCCCAGAAGCCTTCCTGGAGGGCATCTTCACATCCAAGACAGACTCCTGGTGATAACACACCCTTCCTTATCCTCCTGTCCTCTGTTTTGAGGCTAATCCCTTCCTTTCTGGGTGAACTTGTGGGAGGGAAGGGCAGGGTGTGTGAATGAGTCTCACCTGGTTCCACTATTCATGATACAGGTCTTTTGGGGTGCTGCTCTGGGAGATCTTCTCACTGGGCTACATGCCCTACCCTGGGCGCACCAACCAGGAGGTGCTGGATTTCATTGTTGCAGGGGGCCGGATGGATCCTCCTAGGGGCTGTCCAGGGCCAGTGTGAGTTTAGAGGGCTGCCCAGGGAGGGAGATCCTTCATGGCCATAGGTGGGCATGAACTCCTACCTCCTCCCAGGTACCGCATCATGACCCAGTGTTGGCAGCACCAGCCTGAACTCCGGCCCAACTTTGCCAGCATTTTGGAGCATCTTCAATACTGCACTCAGGTGTGCTCCCTGACCCACACCGATGATCTTGGTCTTGGGAGTGAGGAGGGAAACCGTAATACAACTCCATGGTCCCCTGCTCCCCGACTTTCCTCTTACAGGACCCCGATGTGCTGAATTCACCCCTGCCAGTGGAGCTGAGGCCCACCCTGGAAGAGGATGGGGCTTTTGGGCTGGGGAACAGATCTTTGGAGGGCCCCAAATCCCCACAGCCCCAGGAGCTGAGTCCAGAGGGCATGAAAAGCTGGGGAGGGAGCCCTCTTGGGCTGCCCTCTGCAGTCAAGCCCCTCAAACCCAGAGGACTCCAACCTCAGAACCTTTGGAATCCCACCTATGGCTCCTGGGCCCCACGAGGCCCTGAGAGTGAGGACTCAGGTATTGATGGTAGGGATGGCTCCTTTCTCTACTCCTTATCAGGCTTCTAAGTGGCTTGTTATTCCACCAGCCTCTGTCCCCTGCAGTCTGCATGTCTGGACCTGTCTCAGGGCTAGCTTGGCAGCACTGGACTTTCCATGCTGGAAACCAACTCCAGGCCTCCTGGGGAAGGGCCAGACCATTTCTAGCCTTTGATGTTTGGGACCAGAACCCCTTCCCATTCCCATCCCCAGGGAGTCCTGGTCCTCTAAGAATATCCTTCATCTGAACAGTTCCCAACTTTGCAGATGCTTCCAATAAAAAGCTCCTCTCACATCCTCCAGTGATCTGAGTGGATGTCAGGGATACTAGAACCGAGGAAGAGGGGACCACAGGAGGGAAGGGATGAAGCCTGAGTCATAGAAACTGGGTCTTTGAGTTTTATTGGGAAGGGCAGTCTTATTGTAGTGTAGGAGGTTAGACCAGTAGGTCTATGCCTGCTAAATAAAAGTCATTACCTGGCTCCTCTGGAGAGGGTGGAGCCTCCTCAGAAGAGCTGGGCTGAGGAAGAAGCTTTTGTTCCCTCTCATTCTGTAAATGCGTGTCATTCTGCTCTGGGAACGATGGGGGCTGGGGCCGTATGGGCGCCAATCCCTGACATCAGCAGTGTGCTCACTTAGTGGTTGGTGCCTGGCCCTGCAGGACTATGTGAGCCGTCTGCACGACGGGGTTTCAGTCTCTCGCCGGCATGCACAGTGGGGAGGTAGCCGCAGGTCCACGTGTCAGACCGATGGGCCCACGCGGGGACAGGAGTCCAGCCTCATCTCTCAGCCAGGCTGGCCAAGATGCCAATGAGATTGTCCAGCCCCAGTAAATAGCCATCCTCACGGTTGCCCTCCTCCCAAGGCAGCCGGTGGTCCAGGATCTGGCCGTCAGGGAGGGGTGTGGTTTTGCCAAAGTCGATGAGCCACACACCAGCGCGATGGCAGTGATCATGCACGAAGAGGAGTGAGCTGCCAATCACCTGCCGAGCCCCACGCAGTCAGGCCACAGCCCTGTCCCTGAGAAGCCCCCACCCTATTCCCACTCTAGGCCTCACAAATCCCAGACCTGAGCCTCGAGGCTTCTTACCTCATGCCTCCTAAAGAACTCAGAGACCTCCAGGGTGTCCCGGATCTGCTGCAAGCGGTTCAGATACCTCCTCTGGAGAGAGTAGACAAGAAGGGCAAATGAATAAACTCTAAGTGAGCCCCTGCTAACAATTAAGAGGCACGATGCATGTTCAGCCTGGCAGATACTGTTGTGAGGAGGGTACAGTCCTCCCGCAGCGGGCACAACCCAGAAGGGAAGGAACATAAAGCAGTCACAACTCAGCGAAATAAAGGAGGTCACATAAGCGAGAGCACTCCATGGCATGACCAGGGGCATCCTTTTTTTTTTTGGTTAGGGCCGGGTTTGAACCTGCCACCTCCAGTATATGGGGCCGGCGCCCTACTCCTTTGAGCCACAGGCGCTGCCCAGGGGCATCCCTTGATCTCAGGATCCCCAACACCCCAGGGTTCTGGGATTCCGCCCTCACCAGCACTTCCTCATCTCCTTGCACAAACTCCTCAAAGACGCGAATCACTTGCTCCCGGCTGCGCGTAGTCTTGAAGTCGGTGCTACAGGAGCCGTCCGCTTTCTAAAGGAGGTGGGATGGGAGTGTCATGGGGTCCCTGGACCACTGGGCAAAGAGGATCAACCTAGGGCAGCGGTACCTCCAGGGGCGTTGGCTGCTGGGGACAGCGAGGCGGCCGCCAGAGGGCCTCTCGTGGTGGTGGCAGTGATGGTGGTGGCGATCACAGTGATGGGGCAGTTGGGGTATGGCGGGAGGAGACAACAAAACGGGAAGGACACCCGGTGGTGGGGCTAGGGCAGAGGAAAGGCCAGCATGGTGTAGAGCGAAGCGAGCCTGCCCACCTTGATCCCCTCGATGCGGAAGCCTAGCGTGGTGCTGGAGCTAATGCCTTCTCGCCACTGCATGTAGCGCGGCTTGGTGACCGCGCGCTGCGCGTGCTCCTCCTCAGTAGGCGCCTCAGGGTCCACTGCCAGCATCTTCTTGTACATGTCCTTCCGCAGTTTTGGCCTCTCCCGGGCCTTGGTCAGTTCCTCCTCCAAGTAAGTCCTGTAGGGATGTAGGCCCCAGCCGGGAATGAGGGGGCGTACAGGGCACCCCATTGAGTGTTTGCTTGTTCTAGCCCCCATCCCAACATGCTCCCTGCCTCACCCAGCACCGCAAGGCACGCGTACCTGACGCCCATCTTGCAGTCAAGCACGCAGGGCCCGTCGAAGCCGTCGAGCAGGTCCTGCAACTGCAGGTAGCTTTCGCCGTCGCGCTCCACCACGCCGTGGAAGGTAGGCACGCAGCCACGCAGCGCGTCCGCCATCAGACGCGCCAGGCAGTAGCGCTCCGGCTCCGAGCAGCGCTTCAGGATCAGCCCACTGGTGCCGGCCGCCTTAAAACTCCCTGCGGACAGGCACCAGTCAGTCTGCCCAGCCCCTTCCTGTCGAGGCACCTCCCCACGCCATGTGTGCGACCCAGCTCACCTGTGTGCCCCGCCAGCTGTACCCAAGAGTAACGCTTTTTGAAAGGGCTGATGACGGGAAGATTCACCATGGTCCGGATCTTCTGCCAGTGGCTTTTCTGAAAGCGACAAGGTCAGGGTCTGCGAGTCAGCGTTTCAGTAATGCATAAGCCCTCCTCTGAAATTGTCCCAAGGCAGGGCGCAGGGGCTCGCGCCTGAAATCCCAGAGGTCTGGGAAGCCGAGGTGGGAGGATCCTTTGATTAAGCTCAGCAGCCTGAGCAAGAGCGCGACGGTCTCTACTAAGAAAAATTAGCCAGGCGTTGTGGCGGCTGCCTGTAGTCCCAGCTACTCCGGAGGGTGAGGCAGGAGAGGCTTGAGTCCAGGAGTTATTGATTGCAGTGAGCTATGATGGCACCATTATACACCTGCACTCCAGCCTGAGTGACAGAGTTAAGACCCTGTCCCTTTCAAAAATAGTAATAAGCTGGACATGGTGGCTCACACCTGTAATCCTAGTACTCTGGGAGGCTGAGTATCCTAGAGGTTGGAGATCAGCCTGAACAAAAGCAAGACCCCACCTCTACTAAAAACAAGAAAATTTGGGAGGCTGAGGCAAGAGAATCGCCTAAGCCCAAGAGCTGGAGGTTTCTGTGAACTGTGATGCTACAGTACTCTACTGAGAGCGACAAAATGAGACTATGTCTTTAAAAAAAAAGAAAGAAAAATAGAAAAATTATCCTCACAATAAAAATAAAGGAAAAAAAGAAAAGAAAAGAGAGAGAAAGAATTATCCTAACTCTCGGGAGCCAAGGCAGGTGGGTTGCTTAAACTCAGGAGTTTGAGACCAGCTGAGCCAGATCTAGACCTCATCTCTGAAAACAGCCAGGTGTGGTGGTGGGTGCCTATAGCCCAGCTACTTGGGAGGCCGAGGCAAGAGAATTGCTTAAGCCCAAGACTTTGAGGTTGCTGTGAGCTGTTACGCTACAGCACCCTACCCAGGGCAAAAAAAGTGAGACTCTGTCTCTAAAAAAAAAAGAAGAAAAAGAAAAAGTAGCCTGGCTTTGTGGAAGTCATCTGTGGTCCCAGTTACTGGGGAGGCTGAGGTAGGAGGATTTCTTGAGCCCAGGAATTTGAGGTTGCTGTAAGCTAGGTTGAGGCCAGGACACTCTAACACTCTAGCCTGGGGCAACAAATTAAGACTCTGTCAGAAAAAAAAAAAAAGGCTCACAGGTGGCTAGAGCTACGGCTACATGCACCAGAGCTGGTGGGTTTGAACCCAGCCTGGGGCCCCTGAACAACAATGACAACTACAACCAAGATAGCCAGGTATTGTGGCAGGTGCTTGTAGTCCCAGCTACTTGGGAGCCTGAGGCAAGAGAATCACTTAAGCCCAAGAATTTGAGGTTGGCTCGGCGCCTATAGCTCAACCGGCTAAGGCACCAGCCACGTACACCTAAGGTGGCGGGTTC